GACAGTTTGTAGGAGAAAGGCCCTTCTTCACTTCAGAAAGCTCAAAAACTTTAAAAAGTACTCTTATTTTAACCAATCAATTCTTTTATTATATATAGTACAGTGTTTTACTAATAGTCATTTTAGAGTCATCATGATATATCCATTCAATGTAATATTTAACAAAAAATTACTTAAAATAACTGGCTCCTGAGATAAAAGTGTACCAAATTTCCCTGGGTATAGCTTTTTGTGCTCAGAAATTTCTAATTTTTTTTTTTTTTACCTGAGCTTTCTAACTTTCCTTTAGAATTGAGTTTTTTAAGCCTCCTAGCTAAAGCTGCTGTTTAAATTAACTCTCTGCTTCCAGACTACGCAATTACTTACTTGTGTGCCTAATGATTAGCTTCTCTCAGCACTTCTGATCTCATCAGAAAATGAAAATATGCCTGCCAGAGAGTATTGCCTATTTTCCTTAGTTCTCTTGTCCATCTGAAAGTCTTAAGCAAGGAAACCTTTGGATAACTTTGAATAAAAACAGTTGCACTTCTGGTGCCAGACCAAACCACTTTCTTGAGGATTTTCCTGTATAAATGACCTCATTTCTGAGGTCTCGGGTGCTGCTTTCACATATCAAGAGGTAAACAGCCATGCCGCCTAAAGGAACAGACAGACCGTGATGCAAGTTTTCCAAATCTCCTATCTTGAAGCAGAGATTTCCTACCTTATTCTACTTAGAGATAAATCTCCTATCTGAAATATATTTAAGTAACTTTGCTTCAAGATCTTTATTCTATATGCATGGCTTGTTCCCTCATTATCTTTCCAATATTTGATTTTTGCATCTTAGCTAATGTTAAATGTGAAGTAGATGTTGGTGCCCACATTCATAGAATGAAAATTTTTGCTTGAACTGGTTGGGATTCTTATTCGTGCCAATGTTAATAGTATTCTGACTTCCTAGAATTTTGCATTTTGCACTGTTCCTGCACAGAGTAGACTCTGCTTGATCATCATTAAAGTATTTTCAGGCTCAGGTTTTGCTTTGGGCTTCGCCCGAGAAACGTGTGTTAGTAAGACTCCACTGTGTATGGAAGGGCCCTAGCGTAACAGTTGTTTGTATGGCACGTTTGCCATCACTGTAAATTTGTAAAATCTGAAACTGGCTTTATACTTGAATAAATTTCATGTGTTATTGATGACTTTACATAAATTAGTAATAAAAAAAGAACAGACTTCCTAATTCCCCTTGCGATTTTCTATTTAACACTTTATGCCACTTTGTGTATTAAAAATTCTCTCCATTCCATTTGTTTATTTCACAAATCGTTATGGAAGGTTTTCTCTAAACAAGGCATTCCACAGCTACTAACCCCTGTGGTCCCTCAGTGTGACAGTAGGACAGGCAAAATAGGCATAACTCAAATGTCTAAAAAAAATTAATATGCATTTCGATATTTATAGGTCATTTCAATTGTGTTAAAATTGTATATTTATAAAAACTTATTAGTGCTTCCAAACTGTTTTGAGGTAATTTCCCCTACTGACACCTGGTTTTGAAGGAGTTTGTCTTCCCAGTGCCTTTACCATATAATTATTTTCTCATTACTATTTATAGATAACTCCCAATCAAATTATATGGAATTAATGTGTTGCCAGCCCAAAAGGGAAAACAACCAAAGAAATTCATTTCTCATTTTTCTTAGGCTGTGTGTCATGACTAGGGACAGGTGCACAATTTTGAATATTTTCAAATTACTGAAAATCTCCATTACTGACTCTATGGCCTTCGGTGATCAAATCCAGTTTCCTCATTTATTCTTATTAGTATAATTTATTTCTGTTAACCCATCAATTTGCAGCTTAACTGTAGCCAGCCGATCTCTTTTCTTTACATCTATTTGGAGTGTGTAATGAGTAGCCCTTGTCCCTGGAGGACAGGAATTGAATTGGAAAAGGAAACAAATCAATGACCTTCATAAAGGCAAAGGTGCTTCGTTACTTGACTCAAGTGGTTGCTTAACAGGCATGAAGTGTGGATGGTATTTGATGTCTCTGTTAATTTATGTTCTAATGGTTGTCAGGTGGCTGGTGATGGGGTAGAAGAGAAGCAGGGCAAGTGGGTGGAGCTAGAGCTCAGGTGCCCAGGTGGGAGCTGCCCCAAGATGCCCCAGAGTCGCCATAATTGTGCAAAGCCCTTACCCTCCTCCAACCTCCACGTCCTTTCCATACTGTCCACATACCAATCCAACTTTTAATCGTATCCTCCTACATTGAGATACAATGAGAAGTTACACTGGTTTAAACCACTTAACACCAGTTAGCAGGTGCGGGGAGGACGTTTGCATTGTGACTGAACAGAGGAAGAGACCCTAGCATAACATCTTTGGTAAAAATGTGCATTTTCCCAGGGAAGAGAAATACCATAGAATGTGCCCCATGAAATTTTATGGGCTATGGATAAATGATAGTGAGGACAAAGGAGTTACATGAAATTTAACAAGATCCTTACAATTCAGTTTTCTTAAATGAAACGTGTTTTTAGTTTCCTTCTTTACATGTTTTCTTGTTAATTAACATGTAATATTGTACATACGTATGGAGCATAGTGTGCTACATTAATGCATGAATACGTGTACCGATCTAATGAGGGTAATCAGTATTTCCATCTCCCTATCATTTGTTTGCATCCAGAGCCCTTGAACACCTTTCTATTGGTTCTTTATAACATATGTAATAGGTTGGTGTGAACCATGGTCACCACGCTGTGCTGCAGAGCAGAACTTATTCCTCCTATCTGTGTTCTAGTACCCATTCTCCAGCCTCCCTCCGTCCTCTCTCTCCAACACTTTCCTAAACTCAGACTTGATATTTGTCCTGTATCAAATGCGTCCCTTTGTCTGTCTTTAATAATCTTACATAGTATTATGCAACTAAAAGAAAACATATGAAATTGTTCATAGAAGTTACTAGTTTTTCATAAAGTTATTGATGACTTATGTTTTGTTCTTTTCTGGATATATTTAGTATTTTTTACAATGAACATGCATTGCTTTTTAATCAAGGAAAAGAAAATCATGAATTACAAAAGTTGCAAAAGCCCATGTATAAAAATCCTGATACATCCTTGCCATAGTAAAGTAGGTTTATTTATTTTTTAATTTATAATGGCCTATCTGGCTAAGTACCTGATAGTAAAATAATAAACCCTTGTATTTGTACAGTTCTTTACACAGATTTTCTCACACGGGACATATTATAATAATACTTAATGAACTTAGTAATAGTGGCAGGATAGATCATAATGTCCCATAACAAGGAAATGATGAATTAGATATTTTATTTAACTTGCTAAGAATTACATGTTGAACAAGTTGCATATAAATAGGGCTATTCTGAATCCTAGCACAAGTTTTTCTTTTTACGTGGTCTAATTTCTTTGTGCTCCCATGTGTATAAAGTTCTGCTAATGTTCTCATGAAATCTATAAAAAAAAATATATTTAAGACGTAGTTCCTGCTGTCAGGCAATTACAGTGCATTTGGAGTGAAAGGACACATAGTAACAGATGGTGTTAATTACCAGTGAAATTGATGCCACAGATAAAAATGCAATGCTTGATACAAGACCTGTCATATTGGATGGATGGATGGTTGGATGGATGGATGGATGGATGGATGGATAGATGGGCAGGCAGATTGAAAGATTAATTAGCTATAGGAGTACAAAGGAAAGATTTAGTGGTCACAGATGGTTGAGCTTCAGTAAATGTCTTTTGACTAATTGATTAGTTGGAGAATACTTTAGGAAGACGATAGGTTCGTTAGGGCTTTAGGAACTTACAAGAGTAAGGTTTGACTCTTGGCAGAAAAGATCAACGTGGGAATTTCAGGCCAAGGGCTAAGCATGAGCAAAAGCAGTGAGGCAGAAGAAAAGTTCCCAAATCTTTTGCTTTAGTGAGGAAGTTGTTTCAAAAGTAGAATGAGACCATATCATAGAACATCATGATTTGTAAGCTGATATACTTAAAATAATATAGGCAGTTATAGAATTTTTTGCATAACTAATGCCATAATGGAAACATTTTAGACAAAAATCTGGTAAAAGTATGACTTCATGTTGAATGTAAAGATATAAGATACAGTTCAACATGAGGTAGAGATTTCAAACATTCAACTAGGATTTTTAAGTATTTTTAGAAAGAACTGCGGATGTAGATTTTGCTGTATCATCATAATAATAGCCCTGTACTTAATTGACATTTCTGAGACAGTTATGTCGAATTTAGTCTTAGATATATAGGTATTCTAATTGAGAACTAACACATTGGAAGACAAGAAGCTGGCATAAAAGTCTAGAGGCCTCCAAATATTTCATGCATATAGCTTAATAAATTTTTATAGCTAGAATAAAGGTAATAGTTTATGTCTTCCAGATATTTAACCTGATTACTGGACATGTCATAAAATTGGTATTTCTTGCAAGTGAATTCTACTTGCACTATGAGAAATTGTATACATTATAACTTCCTTTAAATCTGTTCATGATTTTACCTCACAAAATCAACAGTGGCATCATTTTTTTTTTAATCCAAGTGACTAACAGTGGGACCCTAGGGCAAAACAATGTGAGTTGGAACCCAGCCCCACTACTTACTTGCTGGTCAGTCTTGGCCAGGTTTCTCTCTTCCTCAGCTTTCTCATCCATGAATGATGATAATCACACTAAAGATGTCGGGGGGATTAAAGGTACCCATGTAGACGCGTGCCAGGCACGATGTAGGAACAGTTCATACATGATGGCTGTGTCATTAGAAATAACAATGTCAATGGATACTACACAATCATCTTATTTTCTTGAGATTATTTGTTTTGTTTTGTTTTTCAAACTTCTGCCGGCAAGAGAGCTAGGATCCCATTTGGATGTGTCCAGGGTCTTTCCTGAGGGACACTGTAACTCAACACATGTAGCACAGGCTGCCCCTAAACACAGTGAAGCTGACCATCCCTTGCCTTTCGCAGTGAGCCATCTCTATGGATTTGGACTGATGGATGCTGAAGCCATGGTGATGGAGGCAGAGAAGTGGACCACCGTTCCCCAGCAGCACGCGTGTGTGGAGAGCACAGACCGACAAATCAAGTAATGTTTGCAGCCACCAGATAGCATAATAACTCCCCGAAAAGAGAGAGGCCAGCGCAAGTGCCTCCAACAGCCCCTGCTTACACATGGAAGCTAGAAACTTCTGTAATCTCTTTGTGCCGTAATTATAGGGTTGTGATAAAATGTCTACGATGCTAAGCTGCTAAGTTCATAGTAGTATAACCCGAGGGCCATTCAAAGGGAGTTGGGGAGCCCCTTGCCCATGGGGGTTCCAAACTTGTTTACTCTGTCCAGATCTCTATTTGATGGTATAACTCTTCTCCAGATGTACTACAAAATCAGAACATGTGTTCTGGAAACCTAACTGCAAACCATATTATCCTCCAAAGAGTAAGGTAAAATATAAAAAGTTCATGAGCATGCAGTTCACTCCAAGATAGAAGAAGGATTTGCTCCCCAGGGTTAGTTGTGCAGGCACCCAGAGAGTGCTCACCAGACAGTTCTGTAAAGTCACTCCTAGGTGTGAAAGCCAGGGCACAGCATTCATTCTCAGTGGCCTTATTAGTATTTCTTTCTTGGCTTGCTTCTCAGAGACCACCGACTCAGAAAAATATTTATATAGAAACTTTGGGTTATGATGATACTAGAGTCCTTATAATTTCTTTAGGAAATGTGTTATGAAGCAGAAAATAATGTTTTCCTCCTGCATTCTACTGTTTTGAAGAAAAGAATGAGGAGGGGAAAAAAGAGTGAAAATTAATCAGTATTTCTTGAGCACTTATTATGGACCAAGCCAAATGTTTGAAATCTCACATGTGGTTTTCTTCTTAAAACTTGCTCACAACTTGGGTGTCAGTCCCATTTGATAAATGAGAAAGTGATATCGATGGGATTATTTGTTTATCCATTTACAAACTCGTTCACCAATTCAGAAATGGCTTTTCTTCTGCTCCCAGATATGAAATACTAAGCTAGTTATTAGGGAGAAAGCAGGGAGGGATAAAAATTTGCTTCCTGCCTTGTGGAGTTTAGAGTTTTGAGAATAAGTCAAACGAGAAAAATGTAATAAGAAGATAACTACAAATTCTAAGTGAATGTTGAAAATTTTTAAAAGTAGGGAATTAGACATAGAGAGTGAGTTTTGCCTCTGGTTTAATGGGATGAAATTTAAGCTTTGACCTTAAAGGAAGAAGAATAAACCACACAAACAAATAAAAAAAGAGTACTTCATGCAGAGTAGTGTGTTCAAGGTCTTCAAAGTGGGAAGCTTGGACTTTGGCAGAGGAAGAAGCTAGAGGAAGACAGAAACCTGCAGAGGAAAGGAGAGAGTGTGCCCATGGGTTATAGAGCAAGTGGTGGACCAAGCATTTGAACCAAGTTTGTGCAAATTACCAAACCTCCACTATTCTGCCACCGTGCAGTAGTTCTCAAAGTGTATTCCGTAGATCAGCAACACCGCTGTCATCTGAGAAGTTGTTAGAAATAAATGTGCACAGGAGCCTCCCTAGACCGACCTGCGCAATCAGTCGCTCTGAGCTGGGGGTCCCCCAACGAGGTGATCCCAAGGCACAGTCAAGTTTGAGACCCTGTACTTGCATGAAGATAAAAGGACTTTGATTCCCCTTTTCCCTCACTTGCATCTTTCTTCCTTTCTAACCATTAATACTTTAAGTGGCCTGATTATTTAGATGTTAGCACCATTGTCATTTAATATGCAGAGGCCACCTGTTTGCTTATCTTGCATACTCATTCCTAAGCCTCCCTGATCACTCATCTGAGCTCTGCTGCACACTTTGCTCAAAAGTCTCTCTCTCTGTCTCTGTCTCTCACAGGACGATTCGCCCCAACAGTGCAATACGCTCCATCTACAAAGCCTTAGGTTGCTCTGATAACGCCAACCACTATGTCAAGTACCTGGAGCATGTGGTTGTGCGCATCACCATTACCCACCCCCGGAGAGGAGATCTGGCCATCTACCTGACCTCACCCTCAGGAACCAGATCCCAGCTTTTGGCCAACAGGTATAGTGATGGCTTCTGCCCACCAGTGTGAGCAACACAGCAGCATGCAGCTACCCTTAAGGCAGAAAGGAACTGCTGCTCCTTACGCACAGTGTGGGAACCAGCCGAGGGGTCTTTGGCTGTTGTGATCTCACTGCTCCCAAGTAAAGAATGGAAAGCTGCCTAGCATTATAATCATGGAAAAGTATGGCATTTAGTAGTTGGACAGTAAAAGGATGCTTCAGAAAAATTGAAGGCAACTTTACCCTAAATAGTAATGCTCACTGTGAAGTGGCTGATGACATTTGTTACCAATTAACGAATTTTCTTGCCCAAACAGTTAACTTTCCAAAGTTAAAGGAAATTCTGGGGTTTTTTAAAGTAATGTTGGCAATTTTTTGGTCTGCAGAGAGCCCGATAATAAATATTTTGAGCTCTGTGGGCCATGTCTTTATCCCAGTCACTCAGGTCTGCAGTCAGAGTGCAGAAGCTGCCGTAGACGATAGAAATGAAGGGGCATGACGACTCCCTAATGTCTTTCCCACATGGGCACCTTGGTTTTAATGTTGGCCCTTTAGTAGTTTTTGTCCCAGAGGATACTGGCGTGTTGGGGGGGGGGTGTTTTTTGTTTATTTGTTTGTTTTTAGCCTTTTTCCTTTTTCTTGTTTCTTTCCAAATATTGAACCTACAGGTAAGTAACTGTTTTGTGCAGACTGAAATTCTGCTGGAAGAATAAAGCCAGAATGTTCTTCGGCTCCATTAATTTCTTGAGTGGCTGAGAAGCTGACCTGCCTGTCAGTAGGTGGAGCTAGACCAGAAGATGTCGCTTGTCTTACAGACCTCCTCCCCATTATGGCTCTAAAATAGAAGCCACAACCAAAAGCTTAAATGTTTCTTTAATTTGACTTTTTTTTCTCCCAGAAGAACGCCTAATGAGAGCAAGAACCTTATCATCAGCGGCCTGTATAGTCTAAACGAAAGTGAACCTTTCATGTAGCCACAGCCACCTGTCCGTGTGGCAGGTGATATGGCAGTGGTGATCTTTATTGAGTGTGACCAATAGACCAGAAGATCTGAGAGCCCAGGGTAAAAGCAAGCCTGCATAACCACAAGCCAGGCTGAAATTTCCAGTACCCAGTTGCTTTGAAACCACATTTCATCCATTGTAAGGTAGTGAGAAGAAGAGAGAGGAATAGCATTTAAGATCATTTAGGGACCAGGAGTACAGAATCTGAAATCCATGAGGGCATGTGCTATGTTCTCCCTTTAAAACTAACATCTTCCCAAGTATATCATATTGAATATGGTCATGCTTTTACCATGTTTTATGGAATTTAAAATAGTTCATTGTAAATACCTTACTTGTTCCGTGCAGCTCTGATTCCTGAATCGACCTTCAGAGCAGGAGTGCATGGAAAAGAGCCACATCCTGTCACTTGCTCTCACCCTCCCTTTCGACCAGCCTCGAACCAGCCTTGTTGAACAGTGCATTTTCTTCCTGCCCAGAACAGCAGGAAGTGTCTTGTGCTGTTGACCTCTGTTCTCATGTGTTTAACAATGACCAAAGTGCATTCTGAGGCTTTTCAAGGAACGCATTACTGGAGCTTTAAGAACATACTTAGTTTCTCATGTGAAAAATTAGGTTTTGTCTGATATGTTTTTTCTTCTTCTGTTGCCTAATGTGGAAGTTGTGTTTAAGAATCATATTTTATAAACTTTTTCAAAATAAGGTACATACCTATCCAGAACTTAACATTTTGCACAGAATATGTCAAATATATTTTGAGAGGAAAAAAAGTATGGCATGAGTTCTGTTAGGAATAAAATATGAAACTATTGTATGTTACAAAAAGTTATTTCAGAGTGGAAATATTTTTGAGAAAACTAGCTAACTATGCTGATTTAGGAAAATGCTTGTTTAGGTCGAAGTTCAGTTTAACTTAGACTTGGGAATTGAAAGTTATTAATAATATGTTGGGGCCAGGGATTTAGCTCAGTGGCAGTGTGCCTGCTTTGCAGGTGCAAGGTCCTGAGTTCAATCCCTGGTACCGAAAAAAAAAATAATAATATGTTGAATTATGTCACTAATGTGAGCAGCAGGATACTACAAGCTATTTTAAGCAATTTCCAAACATTAACAGAACTGTTTCAGAGTAGAAAATTGACATTGCTGCCTTTAAGCATCCCATGAAAGTAAGAAATTATAGCATATCACATAATATAGAAAGGGCAGTTCAAAGAATTGTGGCAGATGTTGTGTGTTAACTGTTGCTCTTTGCCACATGTGTTGTATTTGAAAGTTTGAACAGTAAGTTTTAAATAAAACATTCTACCACTGACAAAAAATAAAACTAACATCTTCCATTAGAGGATGGAGAGACCTAGGCTTAATATTTTAAACATGAAGTACAGCTATGCCCAAGTATTCATGCAGGTTCAAGGAACGTAAGGCTTCTTTGGCATCAGGTCCCTGGGCACTTCCTCCATGCCCTCTTCCTGCTATAGACACAGGGGTCTCAGATGCTGCTTGCCAGGTAATTGCCACTACCTGCCTAGCGCTTCTTTCCAGCAAGCAATTACATGATTAATGGTGGCCTCACCAGCTGTGGTCACCCAAGCCCAGGAAGGCCTTTGTATCTTTTTTTTCTTTATCAATATTCATCTGGATTTAAATTGAAAGAGTATCCTAGTAAAACAGTATGGAGCTCAAAGGTTGCTTTATATATGTGACACTCTTTGCCCCAAACCCTCTCACTCATAGGAAAACAGTCCCTCCACTATTGCTATTTGCTTAGAAAACTCAGTCTCTTCTTCTTTCTGGGCTATTTTGCTATTTATTGTTGGCTTCCTTCAAAAGGACTTCAGTAGGAAAACTCGCAAGGAAAGACACAATGGAGTCCATCACAGGCATTCGGTGGGTTGCAAGGTCCCTGGCTGCAGGCTCACGTGTGTTCCTCCTCATGGACATCTGCTTTGGTCTTTGCAAACTGCTGAATTCAAGAGCACTATGTGACTTGTATCAGAGATAAGAAAAAGGCATTTCAGACCCTCAGTGACCCGTACTCACTGGCTCTACCTCAATCTTCCCCATTAAGACCACCTTATTAAAAGTAAAGTTTTCGGCTGGGGATTTAACTCAGTGGTGTTCTGGGGTCTGCCACGCAAGGGCAAGGTCCTGAATTCCATCCTCGGTACCAAAAATAATAATAATAATAATAATAATAAAAGTAAAGTTTTCGCTAGATGCAGTGGTACACACCTGTAATCTTAGCATCTCAGGAGGCCAAGGCAAGAGGATCACAGTTTCTAGATCAGCTGCGCAACTTAGTGAGCCCTGTCTCAAAATAAAGGAAAAAAGGGTTGGTGATATGACTCAGTAGCAGAGTGCCCCTGGGTTTGACCACCAATACTGCAATAATAATAATAACAACACTAATAATGATAAAGACAAAGTTTGTGCTTAGAATGTCCTAATCTGGAACATCTTCTTAAAATGCTCTTCTATATGTATCCTCCCTCTCAGTCCTGAAAATAAGTAGCCATCAAAAAGAGGTAGCAGTTGGAGATGAGAGGCCCTGGAAGCACTGAGAGATGTGAAGGAGATTATGAATTCATTTGTTCGCAGCTCCCCTAAAACCTTGCTCTGAGCAGTTGATGCTTGAAATGTGAAGCAGCTGCACCTGGTCCCCAAACCACCCAAGGCCACCTTCCAAGGCCAGGCCCTCTGTTCTTGCATTTGACACGGGCAGTGTTCCTCCTACTGAGGCAGCTAGAGAAAAACAATTTCCTTTGGCATTCTTTCCTTCTGGCAGATTCTGAGGCTTTCATTGTATTAGAGGAAATCTCTACTTGAAGCCTTTCAGTCTCTGGCCTATTGGCAAGAAGTGCTCATGTCCTCTCACCTTGGCTCTGATTCAAAAACACGGTCCCAGGATGGAGAGCTGGGAGCAGGGAGCACCGGAAGGGGTGGAGAAGGGAGAGGAAAGACCTGCTTTGCTTGGGTGTCCTCCATGCCCATCTGCAAAGTAATACTTTTCCTCAAGAAAACAGTAAGTAGGTTTTAGAAGAAATCTGTGTGCCTGAGATTTTTCATAAAAACAATAAATAGTTTCCCTACTGAAGACTTACTGTGATGGTTAATGGTGATTGGCTTGAGAGATGCCTAGGAGATTTATAAAGCTCCAGGGTGGGGCCTGGGTACCACGTCCAGTCCTGGCCCCTTCTTCCCTGGCTCTCCTTGTTCTTGCTCTGCCTCCTGGCTGCTGACAGCCGGGCAGCTCCCCTCCACCACACCCTCCTGCCCTGATGTTTCTGCCTGGGAGCCAGCTGACCAGTACCGAGGGCCAAAATAAACCTTCTCTCCTTTCAGCTGTGTATGTCAGGTATTTTGTCCCAGCAACAGAAAGGTGATTAACACAGTTCTTATTTTGTTTCAAAGAAGTCGAGATTTCTAAGAAGGCCCAAGTAAAGCAAAGAACAGTTTAAAACTAGGAATTATGAAAAGGTTAAAACAAAATTTCTCTAGCAGGGCTGGTTTGAGGGATGATGATGTGGCCTTCTTGAGGCTGAGTCGTCCTCGACTCATCTGTCTTACCCCACCAGGAGGTGCAGCTCTTTTCTCTCAGACTTAGAATTCCCCATCCTGCCTACTGACCAGCCTGGCAGCCAGTGCAGAGAACTCCCTGAGCCTGTTGAAATCATCCCTCTCCCCCAGCTGCAGAAAGCAAGATGCTGGGAGCCTGCTCAGGCCCAGTCTGTGGAGCTCACTAAACATCATCTCCTCTCTGTGACACAAAAACTAGAGACACACACCATGAGGATCAACGTGAGAGGAGAGCTGAGATGCCAGGTCCTATACCTGGCTCATCATCTGTGACTATGCAGCTTTTCAGTATTGGCAAAATACGCACCCAAGTTTGGGGGCCTGGAAATCAGGTCCCTGTTCATAGTTGGCATTCCCCTGGTCCTTGTTTTCCTAGACATTTCAGTGAGGAATTTCTTCAGACCTGTTTATCCCATTC